ACATAAATAGTTTTTCTCCTTTTTTTTTTCTTTTTTTTTTTTCTTTTTTTTTTTTTTTTTCTTTTTTTCTCTAAAGTAATTTTTGGCAGCGGCCGGTCTGCGCCCTTGGGGCCGCTCGCAGCTCAGGCGGCCCCAGGGCCGGACAGATGGACAGATGCTCGGCGGGGGACGCGTGGCTGCGGCCGGCAGCGGGGTGGGCTCCGGAGGGAGCACCCCCGCCCCGTCCTCTGCCCCGCCTGAACTGCCGGAGTCGGAATTTTCCCAGGGAAAAAAGAGAGGTTCAGGTTGGTGTGGGTCCGCCTCGGCTTTACGAGGCTGCGGAGAAGCTGTCCCGGGGATGAGCGCTGCCTTCACTGGGGGCCCGGGGTGTCTTCCCGGGTTCTCCTTATAGCGAAGACGAGAGCAGAAAGAAGGAGGCAAAAAGCGGCAGGACATACAAACACTCCAAACACCGCAAACCCTACTAAACAAAGAAAAAAAAAAAAAAAAAGAAAAAGAAAAAAAGAAGAAGAATACAAATACTCTCCGCCCTTTTTCGCTCGCACTTTGCGGTCCAACACGATTCAATTACTTTTGGGAGGCCCGTGCAGGAGAAGGGGAGGTGCTGTCTCTCGGATGTTAGAGGAGAGGTTTTTCCTCTGTTGATTTTGGGGTTTGTGTCTTGTTTTTATGCCCTGCTGTGGGGTCCCCGAGCAGAGCAGTCTCAACCCTGCGGCCAGTGGATCCGGGAGAGCCCTTCCGATAGGCGACTTGGGATGTTGCAAAGGAGAGGAAAGAAAGGGTAAGAGGAGAAATCCGTATGCGCCCACCTGTGAGCGCCTTGTCCACTGTGCTGTCTCCCAGCTATTCAGTCTAGCAGAGTTCGGGGTTTTTTTTCAAGCCCGTTTCCCACAGGAGGGAAGCTCGCCGAGCGCAACAGGTCGCTTCAGCTTCTCCCGGGACCTCACGAAACCGAGTGTCCCTTTCCTGTCCTTCCTCCCGCGGCTCCCCGCGTCGCGACTTTGCTCTGGGACACCCTTGGAAGGGGGATGCGGGATGTCCCGCTTGGACAAGGCGCGGAGCCGTCGCCCCCGCGCAGCCCCTGCAGAGGAGCAGGAGGAGAAGGATGAGGATGCTGTGTCCCTGAGTTGCGGCACTGTGGTACCTTTCCTCGCGTCTCTGCCATTCCCTCTCACACCCCACACCCCTAACGAGACCCCCTTGGCTCCCGGCCCGCTCTGTGAATCCTCAGCGTGCTGTCAGGAGGCTGGTCATTTTGCAAATCAGCAAATAAATACTTATAAATGCATACAAATAGTAACTCTTTTCGCTGCCAAATGACGGCGTGGGAGAGGTGTTTGAGTGCAATTTTTGGAAGGCGAGATGTAAACTTTTTTTTGGGGGGGGGGAGAAAAAGTGAAGTTTTTTTCCAAGGAGCACGTGGGTCTCACCTGCTCCTTTAATATTTATTTGCTAAACTAACTACACTAAACCAACCAAACAAGCAAAACCGGCAAGTAATCAGGAGTAAACACTGAGCGCACTCTGCGGTGCCAGTGCAATCCAGCTGCCGACGACTGGCCGGTGTTTGCATGAGCGACCACATGGTGCAAATTCCCATGCTCCAGACCTCGTAGGGAAAGGTAACCTGTACATTCTGCTTCACCACATCCCTTCCTCAGCCTAGGCCCTTACGGGCTAGCTACTGTCATTGCCATGTCCAGAAAACAAGCTCCTAAAAAGATTATCCCTCTGAGTAAAGCATCGGTGGGGTAAAACTCTGGGCATCATCTTTTTTTGGATTCCCCAGGGAGGATGGTCTCAAGTACAAATATGGTGAGATTTTTTATTTTTTTTTCCCCTTGCAAAGCACAATAAATTAATTCTAGAGATACCAAGCACTTTGGTCTCTAGAAAAATAAATCTATCTGCTATATGCATGTCAAGATCTGATTACTTCTTCACTCCAACCTGGATGCTTTTTTCTGCACATTTTTCTGTACATTCCATTTTCTAAACAGATAAAACCCACCCAGTTTTAAGAAAAAAATTGCATTTGCAGCTTGGATATAAAATTGGAGTATTTTCTGGGCAATTCTGACTGCTCACGTGTCCTTCAAAAGCTTTTGCATTCAAAACACAGCCAACTATTTTGCCAACAACCTCATAGCTGCAGTAGATTGCAGTTTTACTGATCATGCCGCCCCAAAATAATTACAAATAAGTTCTATTTTCCATTTATTTTCAAGTTTTCATCAATAACATTGTCAGATGAAATTCAGGAAAAAGGGTATGGCGCCTAAGGTCCTTCAACACATCCTGTTTTATCAAAGGGTTATTGCTAATTATAAATGTTCTAAGAAGGGCTGCTTTTCTCTAGGCAAAGCTTCACTGCCTTTGCTACCCCCTTGCCCTAAAATCCACTGATGCAACTGCACCTATCCTGAGTACAAAACACAGTTACGCTCCAGCATTAAGTCTCCACATGGGGAGTTTTGCTTGGATTAAGATTTCAAAACTGAGCCCATAATAAGATATGCCATAAAACCTCAAACAACCCTCCTCCCCCAGGGATATTTATCTTACACATTTAATTGCCCAGTAAAATAAATTCTGTATGTGTACTCTTATATGGGAAGGATTTTGATCTGGTAATTTCAGTGTATCTTCTGATCTGTAGCAGCTTAGAATGACATCCTTGAAAACTGTGGAGAAGCAGAAACTGTGCCCTGCTAAATAATGCCTATCCAGCTGCTAAATATTTACACATAGGCAGAAATGAGCTTTCCTTGTAATGCTATCTCTTAACTCTATATTAGCATTCAAGAAGAAAAACAAATGCAAGTCATTTAAGCATAGGCCAAATCCCTGCTTCTGCTAAAGCAAATAACAGAGCTCCACTGACTTGCATGGAGCAGAATGGGGCTCCTTCATGTTACCTTCATGTCATATTAACACTGTCATTTTTGTAATGACTTCCCTCTTACAGCACTCACTGCTGTATAATAAGCTTCAACAAACCCTCGAGAAGTGCAGTGTTATTAGTTTATCTGCTTTACAGATAAGTAAACTGATGCAAGGGGAAGATAAGGAATTTCCCCAAGGTCTTGCAGCTGGTTTGCTTGAGATCAAGGGAAGGAAAGGAAACCAAGAACAGAGACGGAACTAACCATCAGAACATGTTCCATAGGCAGGAAAGCAATATGAAGAGGAGGAGCAGGCAATTGGAAACTCCAGAAAACAGGCCATTTCCATCTGATACCTCACTCTGCTCTTTGGTGGCTAAACTTGGGCACTCAGGTTTGAAACTCACAGCTTCTCCAATGATACTTTGGTGCTGCGTCCAGCCTGGCTTGACATGATATAATGGAAGTGGAATTTCATTTTCAGCGCATTGAATAAAACACCCTAATAAGACATGTTAGGAAACAAAGCCTGGTATTACTCACAGCAGAGTTTTAATAAAATCTACTTTGATACTTCTATGCTAACATTGGAACTGCTGTCTGCAAGGCATATATTTTAGAGTGTCAAATAATTACAATAAGACATATTACTGGAAAATTACTGTTGGAGGCTCTGACGTCCAAACCAAAATTAATCTGCACAAAAAAAAAAAATCTCTTTAGTGTTTTTTGTTGGTTGTTGTTTTGTTTTTTTCTAACTAAGTTTCTAAGAAACTTCCAAAGCTCCAGTCTTTAATCTAGCCCAGCTTGTATGCAGCTGCAATACATTTAGCCTTTAACATTAACTCTAGCCATTGTCCTAGGACATGTCTACACCCCACGACACTTTATGGTATTAAAAGAATTGCTGTGTGGCTACAGCAACTTGTCACTAAGATATATCGCTCAGCAGAGAGCAAGACAAAACAAAACAGTGAACAACATGGGTTTTTTTTTTTTTTTTTTTTAATTTTTCTCATGGCAGCTTATGCTATGGGTATAGTTTGCTTGGCTCAGCTGGGTTTATGTGGTGTTTTATACCAAAATGTCCTGCCTGCCCGACAGCTATGGAGTAAAACTTGTGGAGGTGAGTGAAAGAGCAGGCTGTGCACCGAGTGATCTGGTGTAATCGTTCCACAGAGCCACTGAAGGAATAGCAAGCCGCTATATGTACAATGTAATTGCAGTCAGGGGCTGATGAAATAGCTCTTGCGCCAGCCTCCTCCCTCTGTCAAAGGGAAACGAGGGCGCGGTTGGAGGCTATGGCTGACGAGCACCCACAGGACAGCTGTCCTAGGGATTCTCACCTTGGTATCCATTCCAGCAGCTGCAGGCACCACCACGCCAGCTTCAGCTCACAGGGACAAACTGACCAGACAGAGGTTTAGACCGTCATCTTCACACCCAGGAACGCAAACAGTCAGACACCGGACAAACAAACTTTTTATTCTCCGAAGAGTGGTGTTACCATACTGACACAATGGCACTTTTCCAAATTCATCTTGGGAAGTCTGTCCAGACCAAATTTGAGGCCATGCTTGCAGGTGCCGTGCAGGAAGGACAAGGTGATGCACCAGGCTCGCAGGGGAACCAGACCCCCCCTCCACACAGCTGGGCACATCCCAGCCCTCCTCAGGACTCCCCTGGGGAGAGGCACGCAGCTAGCAGCAGCCACCCAGCCTGTTTACACCGCACAAGTGTCAGCGATTGCGAAGCCCCGCTGCTTTTGCAAGTGAAATCAGCCTTGAGCCGATGAGCTGCTCCCTTAACGCTGCTCTCTCCGCAGCGGAGCGAAGCCTTCCGACTGCACCGGCTGAGGAGCCTGCAAGGAAAAGCGATAAAGGAAAAAGGCTTAAGCCTGGGTTTCTTTTCCTAAGACTTTGGCGCCCCTGTGTGTCTTCTTTTTGGGAAATTCAGCTGAAGAACGACCCCAGGCTTTTCTCCCTTTAACCCAGCAGCAGAAACACTGCACTCCAAGTTGGGAGAGCTCTGTCGGGACAGCCTGGATAATGCTACCCAGTGGCCTGACTCTAATTTGAGTTGTGCCACTTTCACTCCTTACCCTTCCTCCTTTAGATGCTGGAGGATTGCTGGAATTGCCTTCTTTGGCAACTTTATCCAAAGAGCGCCACTTCCTGGAGTCAGGACATTTATCTTTAGCTCTTCTACATCCCTTTATCTCCCAGTATGTCTGAGGTCCAGTTTGGAAAGAGCCTTAAAGGCAACAGGTTAAAAAAACAAAACAAAAATCAAAAAGCATTTGATGCATCTTAAACTATCAAAGTGTCAGATTTACAAACTAGACAGGTAATACATGTAAAATACTAGTCTATATCTTTGCATCAGGGTTGCACTACAGCCAATTTTTCTTCAAAGGTGAAAGCAGAGGTAGAGGAAATTTGACGCAAAAATTTAGCAAAACCCTAAGATGAACTGTAAATATTTTTTTTTTTTTTTTTTTCTGTGAGGTACTTGGCATTATTTATTCCATATCTTCAAAATAACTGTGACACAGAGGAATGAAGTGGGTTGCCTAAGGGTACAGGGATGTGGCAAGCAGCTGGACATAGAGGAAGGAAATCCAGCCAGCCCGAGTTCTGGCAAGATTTACTCTGTTGGAGGTCCTGGTACAAATGGGCTCTGCAGAAATGAGTCTCATAAGTCTTTGTCCCCTTTCCTGCCTTCCAGCTGTGGGTCCTTATTTCAAAACAAGTAAGAGATGTGCATGTCTGAGGGGTGTGGTGTTTATTTGGGGCTATTTAGAAAGCATACAAACACACACTCTGCAAAGTGTCACTGGAAAAAATAAGGCATGCAAACGCAGGCAGGCTATCACTTGCCCCAGAGTCAGCATCACCTGCTTCACACTCAACCTCTCTAACCTGGAAAAGGCCCTCCTTTCCTGACAGCCGTGCCTGCCTTTAGACAGATGGCCCCAGCTGTAGGCAATGTAGATGTAGGCCTACCCTGCCTATTTTTATGGGCGGGTGGTTACCCTGCCTTCCTTTCCCACCTGGAGCGCTTATTACTCCTTTCACGCTTATTACTCTTCCACTGTAGCCACCCTTGTCAGAGGTAAATCTGCTCCCTAAGGCAACCACGCTAGGGGAAGCTATCCCAAAAGACTTCTCCCACCTGCTTCCCCATCTCGTTTATTTTTTCATTTCTACCCTTCCTTCGTGCAGTATCAAGTTGCCCCACCAAAGTTTTTTGTAAGGCACACTGCTGAATTTAGGTAGTCAGCCTAAAAATAGCTCTGAAGAAAAAATTAAGGCATTGCTTAATTCAGGGGACTTGTGCTATGTTAGGACTTAGGTCATCTACCTTGATGCCTATTCCCCTGCTGGATATTGGCATGCCTTAAGCCCGATATGGCCTTGCATGCTTGTGGGCTGCATTTCAAAACCTAAGAACAGGCTGCTACTTAATCTTCTTTTAGACCCATTAAGGAGCCTGAGCTTTGCTAACAGTCCAGTCCTTATGTAGAGCCTTCCCAAGAGTAAAAGCCTTTCCTTGCGTTCCTGGGAATCCTCCTCCTGGCAATACAACTAGTGGTGTGATATTCTTTTGCTTGTCTCAATTTTCTGCTCCCCCCTCACAAAGAAAAAAGTGGTGCTTCTTTATTTTGCAAAGCTAGCACTGGTCACAAAAGCTACTGGGGGAGTGTGAGGTCAAACTCCTCCTGGGGTCCTAGGAAATTGATTTCCAGTGCAGGAAAAAGTTTCTGTACTTTCCCCCTGTGACAGGGCCCGTTGACTGAATAGGGGATATATATCCCGCTTGTGAGGGAGATCAGCACAAACACTGCTCCTAAGGGCTGTAAACCCCAAATGCCTGCACTAATGGCCAACAACTAATGTGTTGGTTTGACCAGGTTTACAGGCTGTTGATTGTACATGAGAATTTAGAGCATGAACAAAAATTTGTCCCATAAATAGGCTGGCTGCATTTTAAACTAAATTAACCCCACAGTGAATGGGCCCCTCTACTGTATTACAGCATGACTGAGCCTGCATTGGGGATTGGAAGGGATTCATGTGGCTGGTTAAGAGCAACGTTATTAAGATTATTGTTGGGGGCTGGATCAGCCCCAATAGGAATGCAATTATTCAGGACCTTTGAGCTACAATTATGTGTGACAGGAAAAAAAACCTAAATATGATGGCAGAGAGTATTTGGGCCTTTATGGCTAAGTAACTCACAAGCAGACAGGGCTTAGGGCTCTGACAGACGGGTTGTGGTGAAGCTTGCTGTACTGGTTGAAGATGTTTCCATCTCCAGCCACTCACTCCAATAAAAGAGTTGGCAGAAGGGAATTGGTTCCTCAGCCTCAGTTGCTCTTGGTAGAAGCTCAGCACCTCAGGCTGTGGTTTCACACCATGGAGAGTTCAATGACAATAGCAGCCTTAAGGGATTCACACCCTCGTCCTCAGACTCTTGTCAACTTTTTGCAGACCTGCCGGACTGATTCAGTCTGTTACAGGGGGGAAAAAAAACATTAAAAAATGAGGGAAGTATTACTGCTCCCTCCAATTTTAAGCAGACATTTAAGCCTGAAACTGCATATAGTCTGGTCCAAGCTCTCCAGTCAGCTGAAGGTGTAGGATAGGAGCAGTCACCAATTTGGAAATCAGGGCCTTACCTTAAACTGCTGCCGAGGATGATTTTTTTCCTGCCTCCCTTTCATTCCTGTGCCCTGAAAGTGTTTTGCCTGTGCTGCTCGCAGCCTCTCGGAGGACGGGAGCGCTAATTCTTGCAGGCAATCTCTCCTGGCTGGACTGTGCCCTGCAAGCAAGGAGACAGAAGGCACGTATGATATTGGAATGGAAGCAGCGTGGACAACAGTGTTTGGAACAGCGCGAAATTTTGCTGATGTTTTCATCTCCGAGTTTGTCCCAGCCGGTTTACGCGCGGCAGAAAAAAAAAAAACTCCTCTTTGTAATGGGTGACTACCTACAATTTATTGGAACAGAGCTGTTGCTAAACACATGGAGTAGCCATGTATTAACACAATGTAAAAGGCTGTTTGATCGCCATGGGATTCCAGAGGAGCTAACAACAGAAAATAAGCCGTGATTCACAAATGACTCATTTCAGCATTTCTCTTTGATGCAGCAGTTCAAGCAAGCCCTGTCTATGCACATTCAAATGAGTTCACTGAATAGTCATTGAGCCCAGCCATGCCGTGCTTACAGAGTCATTTTTTTTTTTTTTACAAAGTGTAAGTACAGTTTTTAAGTATAAAAACTGGGCAGTTTCTAGCGAGCCGCGCCAGCTCATGACTCCGGTCACTCCTGCCCGCAGCCCCTTCCGAAGCTGAAATCAGTTTTCCGCGATTCGAGCCCTCCAGGCGCGGGGCTCCTGAGAAATCACGCCCCGTGCTCCGGGCATCTCCTTTCAGGTTGAAAACGAGTGCGATGGCCCTGCGGGATGCTTTTCCCACTGCTCAGCAGTGCCCGCTCCTGCCTTGTGCTGTCCGTGCTCCGTCCGTCTGCTGCGAGCCGTCCTCTTCTTCCTCCTCCTCCTCCTCCTCCTCTCCCGCTGCGGGCTGCGATGCTTTATCCAGCATTGCCATCCAGTGGCACAGGCGACAAACGACAGCGCAGCTTGCGGGTGGCAGCGGGCACCCTGAGCAGTTTTAGCGCAGTTTTTAGTGCCCGTATTTTAAAAGGAAAGGTACCCGGAGCCTTTCAGAGAATGCCTGCCAGTGGATATCCTGCTTTTATTTGAAGTTTTCTGTTCTGCTCTGTTTGTTTTTTGTTTTTCCCCCGTATAAATTCACAGCGTTTTAACAGTCAGAAATCTGCTCTAGTATTCCTCTATGGATTGCATAACTGAGTACATTATAAATGGTCACTCTAATGCACTCTAATGAACTCACCTAACCATATTATTTATTTTTTTTTTGTCTCTGAGATGTTGCTAACCAGGTTGCTCCCCAAAACCTCAAGCATTACGTAACAAGCACAGAAGACTACGGGTAAAAATTATCTGTGAAAATATGGGATCATTCTTTTCCCAAGCAGAGTTGCAATATTGACATTGATCTAGTCTTTGGAACACATCTATCACCCACACACTCTTCAGGGCATAGCCGTGTGCCATTTCTTGCTGCCCAGAGTGAAATCCTCTGAATCAGCAGGGTTGCAAAGGACCAAAGCCCAGCCCAAAAGAACCATTGACAGACATTTTTCACTACTATTTGGATGAAAGAAAACTGGAAACCATCTGCTTGTGTTTGAATTATAACATTTATCACCAGTCCTGGTGAACTGGGGCGGTCCAAGACGACTGGAGTCAATGAAAAGCCCATCCCCAAGGAGGGCTGGAAGGAGGATCTGAGGAAATACAAGTCTGTCAGCCTGTCCTTGGTGCTGGGAAAGGTTATGGAACAGATCACCTCAGGTGCAAGCACATGGCACAGGCAGAACCATCAGGGAATCAGGCCTAGCTAGCATGGCTTTGTGAAAGGCAGGTCCTGCTCAACAAACCCGATCTCCTTTTTGACCAGGTGATCTGTCTGGTGGATGAGGGAAAGTTTGTGGATGTTATCTACCTGGACTTCTATGGCACAGCGCTGGACAAGCTGGCAGCTCACAGCTTGCTGAGGGGCAGTCTTTGCTGGGTTAAAATCTGTCTGGATGGTCACCCACTGTGGTGGTGAGTGGTGCCACATCCCCCTGAAGGCTGGTCACCAGTGGAGTTTGCCACAGCTCAGTACTGGGAACAGTCCTGTTTAATACCTCTATCCATGCCCTGGATGAGGGGATTGAGTGTACCCCCAGTAAATCCATGGATGGCATTAAGTTCAACAGGAATGTTGATCTGCCCAAAGGCTTTGCAGAAGATATGGATAAGCTGGATTGAAAGGTCAAGGCAAATGAAATACAGTTCAGCAGAACCAGGTGCCAGGTCTTGTACTTTGGCCACAGCAACCCCATGCAGGATAAGGAACAGATGGCTGGAAAGCTGCCCACTGGAAAAGGACCTGGTGGTGCTGGTCAGCAGTGGCTGAACAGGAGCCAGCTGTGCCCAGGTGGCCAGGAAGGCCAGTAGCATCCTATCATGGATCAGGAACAGTGTGGCCAGCAAGAGCAGGGCAGGTGAGGCCTCACCTGGAATCTTGTGTTCAGTTCTGGACCCCTCACCACAAGGAAGACACTGAGGGGCTGGAGCGTGTCCAGAGAAGGGCAATGGAGATTAGAGAGGTTACACGAGGAGCAGCTGAAGAATCTGAGTATGTTTAGCCTGGATAAAAGGAGGCCCAGGGGTGACCCTATCACTCTTTACAATTACCTAAAAGGAGGCTGTACTCAGGTGGGGGTTGACCTGTTCTCCCAGTTAACAAGTGACAGGTGAAGAGGAAATGACCTTAACTGAGACAGGGTAGGTTCAGGTCGAACACCAGGAAGAATTTTTCCCCTGAAGAGGTGGTAAAGCATTGGAATGAGATGCCAAGGGAAGTGGTGGAATCACCACCAAAGTGTTCAAGAACTGACTGGATGTGGCACTTAGTGCTATGGTTTAGTTGGCGTGGTGGTGTTTGGTCAAAGGTTGGACTCAATGATCTTGGAGGTCTTTTCCAACCTATTCTTTGAATATATAATTTTATGGTAAGTAGTTGTATAGGAGTCAAAAGGACTGTTTATTTTTTGCAGAAGCTGGGTAAAAGGGAGAGCAGAGAGGTTACTCTGCAAGCCCCACATCACCTGAGGCAGGTCCTGCTGCCACAGCAGCATATCGCTGCAGATCAGAAGGTGCTGGTTGGTGAACACCAGGGACAGACTGCTTGGGGACGATATGGTGGCCTGCAAGAGATCTGCCACAAAGAGCTGCTCAACAACCCTGGGTGTCTAGGCAACCGAAACCAGGGTGGAATATGTGATACTCAGGAGCAGGCAGCCATCAGGAAGAGGACCACACTCCTGGTGTTGTCATGAAAGCAGTTAAGTCCCAGAAGAAATTGAGAACAAGCAGAAGTTCCAGGTAGCTCCCCAGCTGGCTATGTATTTTTCCCTGGTGTTGTGCAACAGTAGGGCTGACTGGAGGATAAAAGAGTGAGAACCCAGCTTTGCAAGAGAAAGGTAAAGCAGGGGGGCATCAACAGACATGATGTGCTTTAAGACTCAAACAAATAGGATGTAAAACACCACAAATTTCATTCTGTACACACGGCAGCATCACTAGAGCTTAGTCCCTGAGCAGGCTGGATATTAAATTGATCATACTGGTAATGAAAGTGGGAATTGTTCCATCTCAGCTGACACAAGGCAGGTGACCTTATTAAAAAATATGCCAGTGTATTTAATGGGGTAGGGCAGTTTCTTGGGGAATTCATGATTAATGTGGCTATAACTCTGGAGATCCCATAGCTAATGCCCCTGGAAAAAGTCTTACTTCCGCTTTGAGATGGCCCAGCTGAAATTTTTAATATGGTACTGCATGAATACAGGTGCATAAATCCACCACTGTTTTCTGTCAGAGAAGGCAAGTTACTCCAGAACTGCTGCACTGATTAGAGGGCACGGTGGCCTCATGCTGGACACAGCAGGCTGGGTGTGTAAGAAACCTCAGAGCCTGCTGAGGGGTGCAGTCTATCTCTCTGTGGTGTGTTCAGGCTGACCACCAGGAGCAGACTGACTCCTGTACTGTCCAGTCACAACAGAAGCCACCATTCAAGACTCTGACCTCATGTAATGTCCTGAGCAAGACCTGACTTGGAAAAATCTCAGAATCTACTGATAACCATTGTCCTGGAGCAGGGCAGTGTTTGCAGCTGAGCTGTGAGTGTGTGTGAAAAGGGTCTGAGAGCGAGAAAAGTGATTGTCTGTACATCCCTGAGATGGAGCAGGAGCTCAGGAGGGTCATGACATCCCAGACCGGTTATTGAGTCCTCAGGAGGTGCTGAGGCCTTTGGAAGAGCAAAGGAGATGTGCAAGGAAATGTGCCACTTTTCCTGGTACTCTTCCAGCTTATAACAATTTGTAGACCAGGATCTTCTGAGAAGGACATAACTGCTGTGTACCCAAAAAAAGTTTTCTGTCATGAACTCGCCCACTTATATAACAGAACTCACAGAGATGGAATAAGCAGGGGCTTAGGGATAAAGCTGCCTGTTGTCTTCTGATTACTGTAGGTACAGGGGAATGTGTATATTCTTTGCAAATTAAATGTAGTATAGCAAAACTTAAACCTAAAAAAAGGCTTGGGGTTCAGGCCAAGGAGCATTCCCAGCGTGAGCAACAGCCAAGAAGCTGTAAGTAGTTCCCAAACAGAAATTGAGCTAAACAGGAAAGAAAGGAAAGGAAAGGAAAGGAAAGGAAAGGAAAGGAAAGGAAAGGAAAGGAAAGGAAAGGAAAGGAAAGGAAAGGAAAGGAAAGGAAAGGAAAGGAAAGGAACAAGCACTGGCAGAATTTTGACAAATACAATTGTAATTCAAAGCAGAATCCAGATATGCAGCAAAAGAACGCCTCCAGA